ATAAACATAACGTAAATTTACTTTATAATTAATGCAAATGCTATTACTGACAGCAGAGTTTGTGGATAAATAATTTTTATAAAAATGATCTTCTTGTGCAGTAGAAGTGACGAAAATCCAATGTATACAAGAAAGGTTTAACATAGGCAGTAAATTTAATTTTAAAATAAAATATTCTGTCGTTAAAAAATCGCGTTAATAATTTATGCAAATTGGGGGGGACCTTCGTATGATTTATGAACAAAGGAAATGCCAATCAACATTAGATAGGATACTTACTTTTGAACCCTATGAGTTACTCTCTAAGATATATATTTGTAATTGAAACAGATAAGGCGGAAGAGCAATAGTAGGTACCTATGCACATACATACGAGGTGTGTTCAGAAAATAACGGGAATTGTTAAATTTCGCGGGTTCGGAGGGTCCGGTTGTCATAAAATTTTCTTTATTATGTTGGTATACATGCCCCCGAAGTATGATAAAAACTTTAGCTGTTTTCATTGTTTACTTTGTCTGTGGCAGCCGCTAAGGTTAGACGTGTTTTATGAGCTCGGCGATTTTTCGTTCGTTAAAAGAAATGGATCAAAGAATTTGTATCCAATTTTGCTTAAAAAATGAAATAAATTCTGTGAAATGTTAACAAAGGCCTATAGTGAGTCTGCTATAAGTAAAACAAGAGTTTAAAAGTGGTATAAGAGTCTCCAAGATGGCCGTGAAGACGTTGAAGATGACGAACGCCCCGAACGCCCAAGCACATTAACAACCGATAAAAACATGGAAAAAGTGGAAGAAATGGTTATAAACCATCAGAGAAGTCGCTGATGATGTTGGTATATCGATTGGCTCATCCCATGAAATTTTTTCAAATGTTTTGGCTATGAAACGCGTGGCAGCAAATTTGTTCCAAAATTGTTAAATTTTGAACAAAATTTTCGGCCAAAAACAATACTGTAATGATGCCCAGCCTCCATATTCGCCATGCCTCTGTCTGACTTCTTCCTATTCCCAAAAATAAAGAGAACCTTAAAGGGCCGTCGTTTTGCAAGCATAGATGACATTAAAAGCGCATCGCTGAAAGAACTAAAGGTTATCCCAAAGATCGAGTTTTAGAAGTGTTTCGAGTATTGGAAGAAGAGCTGGCACATGTGCATAATATCCAATGGGGACTATTTTGAAGGCGACAACATTAATGTAGACGAATAAATAAATATTTGTTTCAAAAAACCAAAATTCCCGATATTTTCTGAACACACCTCGTAAAAAAACGAAAAAAGTAGTTTCCGCGTAGTGACCTTTTAAATACACATTGACAAGTTGTGATTTTATGGCGTTTTAGTCACGGGCTGAAGCTAGCAAAAATGTAACGTAAATGCTAAACAATATCATTATTTGGCAATAACAACCAAATAAAGTCAATAGCTAATTCAATAAGTAAACATGTTAAATTAAAATTATTTTTATACATACAAATTTATAAACAACTGTCAAGCGATTATAATTTAAATTAATTATATTTTTATTTTGTTACAAACCAGTTCATTTGGATTTAGATAAACAAATTTCAAAAGTTGATTTTTGTTATACAAGATGAAGTGACGGCAAGATATCAATTCTGACTAAACCACTGGTATAAAATTCTAATAAATTTTCTTTTAATTGCACTAAAGTTTACTCTAAAGTTTAGAGTCTAAACTATTTACTAAACAATGGTACCTTTGATTTGATTTTTATTTTAAACATTAAATATTAAAATTAAATTATATATTGAATATTGAAGAATAAATATTGAACATTGAAGATATTGTTATCTTTGTTGTTTTAATAAGCATAGGTTTAAAACAATTCTGGCTCCTTCTTTGTTTTTTGTTGCTTTTGTATTCTGTTTCTTGTATGAGGGACCAAATGTAATCACCCATCATGGCTGCATCCCAAAAGCCGTGATACCGCCGCTCCATTTGCTGGTGAAAACGTTCTCCGTGCTCATCACTTACGTCGCCCAGATTGTCCGGGTTATTTACGCACATCTTTTACTCATTTTACACTTTTTATTAACTAAATAAAACCACGATAAAAATACCTTGTTGAAATATCAAAAAATAGCAGTGAAATGTCACTATTCCAACAGGAAAAACAAAAGAATTAAAGTTTGCGGAGTCATGTCAAATTTAAAATTTTAATAATGTTGTCGGTGAAAAAAGTACGTAAAAAACTCAAAAAATTCCAATTATGCACTTTATTTAGGTTTTCATTAAAGAATAAACATATTACAAAATAAAAGAAAAAAAATAAAATAAAAATCGTCATAAAGCTGAATTTTGGTCTTCCACTAAAAAATTCATAACTTCGCCATTTTTTCATGTATTTTTATCAACATTAGCTTGTTCTTTTTGTAAAAATGTCAAAAATGTCAGCTTCACGAAAAAAATTCAAACTGGAGTTATCTGTTTGATTTAAACCCTTCCCAGGACGATATGTAAATTTTCTACCTCAATTTTTGCCAAAAACAAATTTTTTAAGTTATTAAAATTGCTAGCGTCAAAATACTTAGACGAAATCAAAAGTAGATAAAAGAAAGTTTTAGAGGGCTCAAATGCCTTCAATTTAAGGGCTTGTTTGACCAAATCGTCTTTAGTGGGTCAAAATAATGGGATATGGTGGGCAGAATTTTTTTTCGATTTTGTAAACTAGTGTTATCTACAAATTTAAAAACCATAGGTAAACATTCTTCTTTTCAATGAAAAATCAAATATTAATTTTTTTTATAAATCAATAAAATTTTAAATTATATAAAAAACATAGACAATTTAATATAGGTTAGATTGTAAATTATTTTTGAAAATAAACTAAGATGACTGCATCTAAGCAATGCAAGTGTATTTTTTCCAGGAAGTGTTTGTTTCAGTTCGCCATTTCATTGACATTCAGAAAAGCAAGTAACCTTCTTTGAGAAGGCTTCGTCTGCAGTTTATGTAAGGATTAATGCAGTACTTGTCTACATATTTAATTACAATCATCAGGATTGGATTGACATACTTGTATTGGGCCCTCTGAACGTTAGAAACATGTTGGAATACAAAAAATCAGATTTTTACTTACAAACAAACAAACAAACAAATCAATAATATTATATTAAAGAACTAATGTCATAAGACGTCATTTTGTCGCACGCGGACAATTTAATGTATGTAATGGGCGAGTGCTACAAAAGGTTTAATGACATGAGTTCGTTATGCTATTTTATCTATTTTGCAAAAATTCTATAAAAAAAATTAATGTTAATGTCAAAATCGATTCGCCATGCCGTCCTTAATTTACTTATTTACAATAAGCGGCTGTTAATGTTAAAGAAGAAAAAAAGGATATTCTTTGTTGTTAAACAAAATTTATTGCCAGAAAAGTACTAGAAAATTCATAAAAATATTATAACCAATATGCAAAATATTATGCTGTTTAAAGTATAGCCAACCTACAAAATCAAAATTTTGGGTGGGATAAAGTAACTCATTACAGCACCGAAAGCGGTGTTATAATGAAGTCATTATGAACGCAAAATGGATAAAAAGTAATGTTTGACACAAAAATCTTACTAAAAGTGACTTGGTATTAGTTGAATTCTTCATATTTTCTTTTAGTTCGGTCTGCATGTTTACGTCTAAACGTTTAGAAAAAATTAAATTTATAAGATCATAAAATAAACCACATTCTTTAAAGGTGCAAAAATGCTTTATATGTATGGGTTTTTATGAGTGGGTATGTAATCTAAACAACTTGTTGCATCTGATACACATATCGTATTGATTTCCCACAATATTTTGTGTTTTTTGAAGAGAAACTTTATTAGCAAGGGTAGTGAGTTCCAAAACTGTCAAAGTGAAACACTGGTGGTGGGAATCAGAGTTGCCAGATGAGGCATTTTTTTTTAGAAAAACGTATTCCCTGATTTCTGTTTGGGGCTTAGGCTTAATACTTATTTTCCTTCCTAAAATAGCCTTAGTCAAAAAGAGTTTCGCGACTGCCTCACTGATATCTGTTAACCGACCAAAATTGTTTTTTAAGATTCTTGCGCGTTTGATGTATTAATTTATCTATTTTGAGTTCATAATGACTTCATTATAACATGTAATGAGAAACTTTATCCCACACAAAATTTTGATTTTATAGGTTGGCTATACATTAAACAGCATATATAATATTTTACATATTGGTTATAATATTTTTATGATTTTTCTAGTACTTACGAGACTGGCAATAAATTTTGTTTAACAACAAAGAAAATCCTTTTCTTCTTCTTTAACATTAACAGCCGCTTATTGCAAATAAGTAAATTAAGGACGGCATGGCGAATCGATTTTCACATTAACAGTCAAACCAAAGACTGTGATACCAACTATCTAAAGTAAAATTTGACCAAATTAAATTTAAGGTAGAAAGTTTCAGATTTTTATTTTTTCCTCAACATAATGATTTCTGAGGGCAAAATTGGCTAATTTTGAAAATTATCAAGTTTCAATAATTTTTTAATAAAGAAAATGATAGTCTAGAAACTTAAAATAATAGTTACGTTTTTTATTGTATAAGTACTTGATACCTGAAAAAAAGCAACTTTCTAGATTTATGATATGATACCTAAAAGATCATCCTTAAATTTTTTCAATAAAATAAAAAATCATGCAGCGCACTTTTAAATTCATTTTTGGTGTTTTCATTTTGATTGACTCTTTATGGAACATAAAATTTATAAATGAGAGTTAGAAGTGAACATTTCTCCGCAAATTTTAATGAGGTAAAAAAATTTTTAAATGATATTGTAAGTAATTTTTTTTATCGTGTACATTTTAAAATTGAGATTTTATCATATCTCACTGATGATAGGCTTATAAATTGGTTAATTCAAAAGTGGCATAAATCAATGGCATTGCGAAGCCATTTCAGTTCATTTGTATTTGCTAATGCAAAGTAATAGATCGGCCGTCCGCATGCAGTGAATATATAGATATACAGGGATATGCAGGCTTACAATATATGCGGTATATATATACTGAGATCCAGTGTCGGCCAGTCGCACATATAGTAGAGCGCATGAAACGCTCAACAACAATTTCCGACTGACTTAGTGCCGGGACAGATTAAAAGAATTGTTTTATTTCATCTGTTTGGTGTACGAGTGCAACTGTGATTTTCCTGCATGTGGGGACGTTTTTGTGACGTTTTTGTGGGACTTTTGTGACCGTTGTGATTAAGTGACAATTTCCAAAAGAGGACCAAAAGTCAATAGGTAGGAATAAGTTTTAAGTAGTTAAAAAATACTATGTAGCAACTTTTTAAAATAATTTATTTTTGTAGTTATATTAAAAAGGTGAAATTATTTTGGTAGGTATTTTCAAAATAAATAATAAACGTAATATTTTGATATAAATACTATCGGTGCTGTTGCCAAATCGCTTATAAAAACATATTTTTCCAAATAATAAAAAAAACAACACACAGCATTAGCGCGAAATATATTTATTTTAAATTTAATCGTACGTGTTGTTTTTACTTACTGTCATTGTGGAGATTTCAAAGTTAATAAAAAAAATTATCCGTAATTTTTTTATGTACTTATAGTTGAAGTTGTTTTTACTTACTGTCATTGTGTAGATTTTAAAGTTAATAAAAAAAATTACAGATAACCAATAGTTAAAGTAAATAAAGTGTTCTAAGTGTATGGGTATTTTTTTATTTGAAGAGATACAAGGTCGGTTATTTTAAGGAAAAGTTGCGTAATTACAAGCTTTTTAACATGAAATTTGTAATTTGGAAAAAAGCCAGCAATTCTCAAAATATTAAAAACCAAAATTTTTTACAACTTTGTTACCTATTCCTGGAAATTTTGAAAAAAAGTAATTTTTACGTGTAAAAATGAATTAGTCAAAAATAACTAATTTAATAGTTATTGGTGGCTGCTTTTTCACTTGTACCATGATTAACCATGGGATACCGTGGTATCACAAAATTTTACAGCCAATACTTATGTAAAATTGTCCCCTGAATCCGAAAATGTTAAAAGTTAAAAATTAGAACAGTTTTTGAGATATAGTCAATTTTCAATTTAATATGGAATTGACTATATCACAAAAACTGCAATAATTTTGACGGTATTTTCCCACTCAGGGGACAATTTTACATAGGAATTGGATGGTAAATTTTGGGATACCATGGTATTCCGTGGTTAACCATGGTACAAGTGAAAAAGCAGCCACCCTGATAGCAAAATTTGATTCTAAGAATCTTCTAAGGAGATATGACCCGGAATAATGGAATATTCTTAGAACCTTCCCTTATTGCTAAGAATGTTCTCAGGGATTTTTAAAACATTCAATAGATACCCTTTTAATGATGCAATTAGATTCTTAGAAGCTTCTTAAAAACTTCCTAAAAAGCATTCTAAGAACATTTTAAGAATACGTTTTTGGAATGTTCTTAGAAGGTTTCCTATGGAGCTTCTAGGAAGCTTTTGAGAATATTTCCAAATATGTCAGATACCCACGTTCTAATATGTTGGATTCTACATTCGTAAAATTCTTCAGGAGGCGACAAATACGCCTCACTGTCATAATATGACAGTGAAATGTATTTTGCGACATATTAATATATATTTATTTAAAAATATTAAATAAACAATTTGACCTCTAAACCATAAGTTGTATGACATTATTTCATAAAAAGTAAAATTGAAAAATTTTGTGGGATAAGTCAGATTAGATTGAAGTTGAAGATAGTTAGGATTATTATACATAAAAATGTTAATTTAGAAATAAAAAATCCGTATACAAATTAATAAACATTTATTTTTAACATAAAATAAAATATAAAAAAACAAAATATTTCCTTATAAAATAATTCTTCATAAAAGAAAAAACTAAATAGTTCCTTATAAAAAAAAAACATTTTTCATTGTATTTAAGTTGGATAGAAGATTTTATGTAAAAGCCGGATAATTTAGATACCTATAGTAAAAGTATTTTTGTTATCGAATATTGTTTTAATTTGACAAATAACTATAAAAAAATATTTTGGGTTGGGTTTTTTACTTAGTATTTAATACTACTACTAAACTAACTGAATATGCTTAGCAGAATGTTCCAGGAATATTCCTAAATGAACTTTCTATAGCAATTATTTTCTCAACATTCTAAGCATATGTTTAGAGTGGATTAATTTTTACCACTAAACTTTGCACCTTCTAAGAACCTGCCTATAGGCCAGTGAGAATATTCTTAGGATTATGCTATATTTCTTTTAAGCATGTTCTTTAGAAGAAATATAGCATGATCCTAAGAATATTCTCACTGGAAGGTTTAAAAAACATTCTTAGAACATGACTAGAAGAAATATAGCATGATCCTAAGAATATTCCCACTGAAAGGTTTAAAAAACATTCTTAGAATAAACTGTACTATAAGGGCACTAATAACTATTAAATTAGTCATTTTTAACTAATTAATTTTTAGAAAGTAACTTATGTAGTTGATACATTGTTGGATTTTTTTCAATCTATAGATATAAAAATTATAATCTTGTAAAATTAGGAAAAACAAAAGCTGGTGGTGGTATCTCAAATTGGATAAAAATGTAGCAACATGTGTATGTTAACATGTAGGTACCTACAACTTATTTTGTTTTCAAAATTCCCAGGAATAACGAAGCAATAACGATTTTTGGTTTTGACTGGTTCTCAGTTTTTTTTTAATTATTCGAGAACTTATGTCATAACATGAGTTCTTTATGCTAATTTATCTATTTTTCAAAACTTCTATAAAAAAATTAATTTTATACCTTAAATTTAATTTGGTCGAATTTTACTTTAGACAGTTGGTATCACAGTCATTGGTTTGACAGTTAATGTCAAAATCGATTCGCCATGCCGTCCTTAATTTACTTATTTACAATAAGCGGCTGTTAATGTTAAAGAAGAAAAAAAGAATTTTCTTTGGTGTTAAACAAAATTTATTGCCTGAAAAGTCCCGTAAGTACTAGAAAAATCCTAAAAATATTATAACCAATATGCAAAATATTATGCTGTTTAAAGTATAGCCAGCCTATAAAATCAAAATTTTATTTATTACAGCACAAAAAGCGGTGTTATAATGAAGTCATTATGAACGCAAAATAGATAAACATTGTTTATTAACATTAAAATTACAAATTCAATTTTTCACCAAATTATGTATTGCGCAGTGTTATTAGAGGACAATGATTTTAACACTTAAATATGCGAAAATAAACAAAAAAATGTATGTTTGGAAACAAATTTCATGGTCATTCGTTATCGTGTTTACTAAAATCGAATCATTATCTATTTAGAATGCTAATATTTTATTTAAACGGGCATTACTAGTGATAAAACTATACGTACGTAGTGTATATGTTACCGCCAATATCCGAAAACAGTAATTATGCATAATAAATAAGCATTTTAGGAATTATGCGCTTAGTTATTAGGTATGCATGCAAAACAATACAATAAAATGTTATTATTATTATTAAAAAACAACTTTGTTATTGCAATACAAAAAATATACAAGATACCTATAAAAATCCGTTTAAAGTTTGAAAGAAAACATTCCAAATTATAATGTGCGTCAAAAAAACTAAAAGAAACGCGCAGTGGCGGCTCGTGACATTTCATTTTGGTGAGGCAGAGGCAGGGTTTCGCCCTCATTTAAAGGCGAAGAAATTTTTCTAAACCCAACTTAAAAAATACGCGTTTCCAGTGGCGGCCCGTCAGGGGAGGCAGGTGAGGCAGTGCCTCATCGTAGAGAATTAAAAAATTAAGTATAATTTAAATATTTTACTTTCTATAATATACTATAAATTTTTAATATTTGGATTACATGAATTGTGAAATAGTCAATAAAATTGATTGATTTTAAACGTGGAATACCCAGCAACATTTAAATTATTTGAATTTGAAACGACCGCAATTTAAACTAATATTTATAGCTAGATGATTGGCTCAGAAGCATGCCTGAACTAATTTAGACTCACGATTGGCGTTAGCCTTGTTGTCTTGTTCTATTACAATGCGATATCATAGTTGTCTCCTTCTCTCGTATTAGCATACGCGAGGCAGGCACGCCTACATCCAAGGAAATAAGCAGGTGTTGTGGCAACACTTTTGCGGAATTTTAGATAAATTATACTTCACACGTTTTTCAAAATTCAATAATAAATAGTATTATTTTTCTTATAATAAATCGATTTAATCGAAATTATATTTCTATTCTAAAATAAACATATTTTAACACTATCGCCATCTTGTAGCCATCACAGTAACCAATAAAATAAATACAGATTCCTTCTTTAGGTTTGTTTTGGTTATAAAATTCTGAACTGTTTAAAGAACAAATCTGTGGTTATTTACGCAATATTTTGTTTATTCTTTTCTATGAGTTTGTCCATTTTATGACTCTTTTGTAAGTGGTTTATTCTGTGGGTTTAGTTAATTGAACTTGGTGATTTATGTGAATTTAGTCATTATGGATATTACGGTGAGAAATTGTACCGATATTGTTGAGTTTTTTTTTACTTAGTTTTAAGTTTAGATTGTGAACTGCGACGTCAGTTTTTTTAAGTTGGGTTTAAAAAAATTTCTTCGCCTTTAAATGCCTCTGCCTCACCAAAATGAAATGTCACGGGCTGCCACTGGAAACACCCGAAACGCACACTTTTATACTTGTAAAATCAACAATCACAAATTAGTTTTTGGATAATGTAAAATGTAATATAAATTAATTTATTTACTTAATACGTGCAAAGACTAACAAAATAAATTTACTCCAAAATATTTTATTGCGGAAATACAAAACCATCTTATCTAATAAACTTTAGGCATTCGTTACGCATTTCAAAAGAATTGTTTTTTATTGACGATGATATATGTTTTTTAAATTGGATTTCCTGACGTAAATATATTTTACAACCATTTATTGATGAATTTAACAATGCTTTCATTCAAATGTCTATGGTTTGTCTATTATGGTTTTTACGAATGCAGTTTAACAAATTGGGTAATTTAGATGGTTTATTATGTTGAATTGCAAAAGTTTTTTTATGGTAGTTTAGTATGAATCGAGAACTATTCAGGCATAAACTTGTTGATGTAAACCTTTCATAAAGTAATATAACAAACCATTTGCACACAGAGAAAAATTTGTTGGATTTGGTTTCATAATTGGTGCTAAAAAGTGACAGGAACAATTTGTACAAAATTGTAGCAAATAATTGTAGTAA